AAACTGATGTACAGTACATGAAAAGAGAAATACTTGGAAGGTGTACATTATTTTATCTGATTTTTTCAAGGTCAGTGTGAAAGAGCCAAGTATGAAAGAAAGCTGGAGAATTTTACTTTCAAAATAACATGCAGTGTATTTATTTGAGCAGATGCATCAAACCACTGAAAACAATTAACACTGAAGTGACAGTTAGTATTTCCTCCTACTCCCACACTAACTGTTAGTCTGTCTCACATCCTATCACAGTATAAACCATTTTGTTTGCTGATTTCTACACACCTACCTGAGCTATCTAAGCTGTATATATGGTTGTATAAATATTGACTAATCCTTTTATCTTGAGTGCATTAATATTGAGCTACAGTGGTCCTAGCTTGCACAGCAATTGGCAAATAAAAAGCATTATCAAGCACTGCTCATAAGGATAGCTGCTTTAATCAGTCTTGCGAACTTAAAGAGAACTTATTTTTTTTGGTGGAACTTGTACTTGTATTTATCTTAATGCAAACTAGAAAATATATGGCTTATTTGTTGATATGTTTGTAATATCATTTCCATTATTTAAAAGTGATTCATATTTAGACACTAATGTTCTTACTAAATGACATTTATTAAAATTGAACTTAAAATGAAGATTCTTTATATTTAGTAATTGTGATCCAGGGTTTACTTCCTCTATAGGCAAAAGAACACACTAACAGGAGTAAGTTTTGTCATTGTGCTGTGCTTTTCTTCTTTTTTAGTTAGCATCATCTGTATATGCATGACAGAATGTAATGGGTGGAAACATGTATGATTTAGAAACAAATGGGCTTTGTTCATGAAGTTATAGTTATTAGTGTTACTTTCAACTCATCAGGCATTTAGGGTGTCTGTACACATGCTGCGGGGTGGGGTAAGGGCATTTTAGTTAAAGCAGTTCCCAGAAAGCCACTCTTAATTAAAATGCTACAGCATCACAAATATTAATCCCCCATGCCTTTAAAAATGGCTGCAGGACAATTTAACTAAAGCTCATTTGCAAACTTTAGTTAAAGATCCCCAGAGGCCATTTTTAAATCCACGGGGTATAAAGGTATCCTCCCGTAACACTCATGAAGCTGGTCAGTGAAGGTATCTTCCCATAACACTTGTGAAGCAGGCCAGTTTTACTATCCCCATTTTACCCACATGATACTGTGGCAATGCTAGATCATTCTAACTAGAACACATTGGAGCACATATATAGGCACCCTTAGGTCCTGATTCACTAGCGCCTTACACTTTCTTTAGTTGTTTAGACCTGTGCAAAATAAGAACAAAGTGGGTGCATCCAGTTTCCAGAGAGGTAAATGACTACCAAAATGCAAAAATAGGAAAAGCAGACTAGATATGATACCAACAAAATGCCAGCTAATGGCAGAGTTAATTTTCAGGTGCACATAGCTTTCCAAATAATGGTTAATTTATTCCATTGTATTTATTTGTTAATCTCTAAGAATACTCACCCTCACTAGGACCCATCAAGGTCCCAATTCTGTAAATATCTCATGCAGAATACCCATCGATTTCTATGGGAATCCTGCTCAGGATCAGGGGACAAGAAAGATCTGGCCTCTCTGGTTGTTATATGTATTGTGGTAATGCTAAGGGACCTGTAATCATAGATCAGGCACTGTGCTATATGCTGTAGAAACGTGTAGGGGGATCATAGTTCTTAATTGCACGAGTTACAGTCTCAGTCCCATAGAGATAATTTACTTTGTACAGGAAACAGAAAGTGAGGACAGCCTTGTAATCCAGGCACTAAACTTAACCACTAGAGACCTGGTTTTCTTTTCTGCTTCTGACATCACCTTCCTAGTGAATCTGGACAAGTCGCTTAATACTGCTATGCCTCAGTTCCCTATGTGTAAAATGGGGATAAGTAGTACTGACCTGCTTCACAAGTGGTATGGGAGGATACCTTCATTAGTGAATGTGTCATGCTCAGATATAGCTGAGAAAGGCTTTTGTGAATTCCTAGTTAGACCATATTTTATGCCCACCCATTTGCTGATTCATTCTGCAAAAGGTCTAATAAGTACTTCCAAACCATACGTTTCTAAATAAATTATGATCACTTCAAGATAGTGATCAGATAGCTTTTGGCATAGTTGAGCACACAGCTCATCCAACTGCTTCAGTATTGAATGTATTTTAGCTCTGACACAAAAACCCAATGACACCCACATTTCTTCAGCAGCTGCAGAAGATCTAGTTGTATATGAAACATGTGGACACATCATTCTCTCTTTTAAAGGCAGAAAAATGGGCTACATCGGGTAGAAGATGTACTAAAACATTGGCTGAAGCAGGCAACAGCTCACTTTTCATATATTCTAATGATTTCTAAAATAGCAAAAGGCAGGGCAAGAATACAACACATAGATTACTATAAACTGGGTAAGGCAGATACCATTCTGGCCCCTAGTCAATGAAGATTAGGGAAGTGAACTTTATTTTAAGAAAGTCAGTCCTAATGTTTCATATTTCTGCCAGGTGCCACTACACATTAATGTACAAATAGACATCTCATGCTAGCATAAATATAAACCTAGCTGGAAAACAAAGAGCCCATTGCAGTAGTATTCCACTGCCAAAACGTGACAGAGGGAGTACTGGCTGCATTTCATAATCTGAAGTTTCACCTACAGACTGCATGCCCTAACTGGGGACTGCCAAGTGGTAAGGTTCATTGCTAAGAGAGCCTTTTATACCAAAGGTGTGATCAAAAAACAATCTAGGCCAACTCCCTAAGACAAATCTTCACTATAACTTATTGCTTAACATGATGACCTTTTATATGTGCCTAGTTATTGCTATCATTGAGTAAAGTAGACAGGCATTGAATTGGTGCAAGTGAATAACTAAGTCTGTGTGTTGCTATTCCAAACCAAGCAAAATTACTTAACTCTTTTCTCAATTTCCTATGATGCTTGTGTTTTGCTGGAGAAAGTACAGGTCCTTATAGGTTAATATACAAAGATAGTTAAAGTACCTTAAAGAAAGCTGTCACCTTATAACAAGTCAGTCATGTCTCATGTATGTTGTTAGTTATGCAACAGAAGCCATATATAATTTATGAAGGGCCAACATGGGGCCAAAGAAGCCAATCTTGTTTCAGGGAGAGAATCAGAAGATTGAAACTTTCTTTTTGTTAATTACTTCTTAAGGACAATAATTTATAATTCTACAGTAAACACTGTGTTAACCAGCATTATACTATTTGGAATACTCTATTAACTAGAATTTCCAGCCAGCCGGCCGGGTGTGTGTGTGTGTGTGTGTGTCTGTGTGTGTGTGTGTGTGGGGGGGAGCTCTCACATGACAGCTGCTGCCACCACCCACCACCCTGTGCTGCCACTGCTCCACATGTGGCCATCACCCCCCCTCCCAGCCACCCGTGCAGTTTTCAAAAAGGTTGAACACCTCTGCCTCAGATAACCAGAATGTTTAGATACCTGGCACCCGCTTTACCCAACTTATGCCGGGTAACTCAGCTTTTACTGTATTTCAGTTGAGCATCTCAAGACTTCTGTTTCCTTGTCTGGAAAAAAAAAATAACCGGGGAGGGAAGTGGAATTTCTGCAAGTTTCACCTTACCCGAGTTTTCCACCACTAATCCCCAGATTTCCAAGAGAGGTGAGAAAATGGAGTTCCCTGCTCCATTTCATATGCTCTTATGTCTCTTCATCTGGTCAAATCACCTCTGTGAAATAAGCATGATTATATCAATTATGCTGCAGAATGAATCTATTGAAGGAAGGGGAAAGTCATTCTAGAAACATGGTGACGTGGTCACTGAATACCACCACTTCCTTCAAATATCTATGTTCAAAGGCTCATTTGTTTGTAAGAGTAAAAGGAAACTCCTAAACCAAGCTGGATTTATAAAAATAGAAATGGGAGTTTGATTGCGGAAGAATTAGTTTATCTATCTCGGGTAGGTCACATGCTCAACATCACCAGTGGATCTGAGCACTTCACAGACTTTCATGTATTTATCCTTACAGCAGCCTTCATTTTACAGCTGGGAAATGGAGTAAAAGAAACGGACACACACAGAGCTAATTTAAAAGGGGCTTGTCTGCAGCATTTCAGTGCCAAGCTCAAAAACACACTCCATCCACTGATGCTTCATGCATCAAATCTGTTCTAAGAACTACTGTAAGAGAGATATAGTATCTCTCTTCTGGGTTTTGCCATGGGGTAGGAGCAAGAAAGTGGGGTGTACTTCATGATAGCATTCTCAGGCCCAGCAAGAAGGCAGGGTAGACAAATCCTCATATAACTAGGTGCTTTCTTAGACACCTAATTCGAACATATAGGCTACAAGTGTCCCCTTCCCCCAAATCATGTAGATGCTTAATGAATTCAGTGAGATGCCCAAGCTTCTGCTGCTGCACACTCAGGCTAAATTCAAACTCTAACTGAGATTCACAAAAATAAGCATTCCTTTGCATTTCTTTCACTTACATAGGTATTGCTCTGAGCTTGTCTAACCCCAAAAAACTCAAGTAGGAGAGAACAGGAGTCTACCTTTTACCTAATAGCCCATTGATTAGAGCCCTTTATCCACAGTAAGAGACACCATCTTTAAAACACATCTTCCAGAGAAGTCCTATAAGGCTTCATGAGGCTTTAGGATATTTGGGAGTGGGATTTTCCAAGGGTATACTTACACCATGATGCCAATGCGTGCCAGCAGGGGTGTCCCTGAGCATGCCTACATACTTCCTCTCACATGCTCCAAATATGACAGTGCAGCTGAAAATATGACAGTGCAGCCTCTCTCAAGACCTTGGTCTCCAGCGTGCTATGGATCTAACATCCTTTTATAAAAAGTTGTCACTCACTTTGAATTAAAGTAAATTTATTATAACTACAAAGCAGTTTAAAAAGAATTAAACATAGGATTCCCTCTTGCACTTACCTATACTAGATTTTTCTCTCTCTCTTTTTTTTTTTTTTTGTAGGCATTCACTGTGAAGAAGACATCAATGAGTGTTACATGAACCCTTGCCAAAATGGTGGAACCTGTGAGAATTTTCCTGGAAATTATACTTGCCATTGCCCCCCTGGAGATAAGGAGGGGATGTTTTATGGTGGCTGGAACTGTAGTGAGGTTCTTCAGGGCTGCACTGATCACCAATGCCAAAATAATGGAATATGTATTCCCCATTTAAAAAATGGCCAGCATGGATCCAGCTGCATGTGCCCACCTGGGTATACTGGAATACACTGTGAAAAATTAACTACATTTTCTTTTGAGGGAAATGGTTTCCTTTGGGTGAGGAGCATCAAGAGCCCTGCAAAAGACTCCTTCTACAACATAAACCTGAGATTTCACACTGTGCAACCTACAGCCTTTATATTTTACCGAGGGGGAAAAGATACATTTGTGAAGTTGGAGTTACTAAATGGCCACTTACACTTAGCCATGCAAGTCAATAGTCAGCCACAGGATCTTTTCCTTATTTCACATAATGTCAGTGATGGGAAATGGCATTCAGTAGAGGTAACCTTCACAAGAGCTGTTACTCTTAATTTACTCGACAGCTCATGTATAGAATCATGTGTCAATAAAACTGCTGCTACAATAAATAGTGACCAACTGATGCCTGCATTTCAGAGCACATTTTTGGGTGGTTTGCCAGTGGGAATCACGAGTGGTGACTCTCTATTAAACACCTATAATATGCATTCTGCACCTTCATTTATAGGCTGTCTTCAGGACATTGAAATAGACTTGAACATTATTACACCAGACAACGTGTCATCTGAATCAACTTTAAATGTCAAGGCAGGCTGTGCTAAAAAGGATTGGTGTGAAAACAACCCTTGTCAAAATAGGGGGCGCTGCATCAATTTGTGGCTGAGTTATCAGTGTGACTGCTACAGGCCTTACACCGGGCCAAACTGTTCAACAGGTAAGACAGTGCTCTCAGCATTAGAGTATTAAATGCTAGCTGAAAGCACTGGCACTTAATCGTAAGCAACAAATCTGCTTATACCAGTGCTGAAACACCATGACCCTTAAGACCTCTGGAGCTTATTATCAACTGACAAGAAAATGCAGGAGGTCAGTAGTAGCAGGAGCTCATTATTGTCTAGTTCTCTCTCAGAAGCCTGAATTTCAGTGAGACAGAAAAGTCAAAGTAAAGTTATGGCTTCTGCTCAACAATGTTTTTAATCTTTTGACTTTCAATACTCTATAAATTTTGGAAAACTCTACCCTGCTGGCAGTTATGCTCTTGGGGTAAAATTTACAGAAACGTATAACTGACTTAAAGAAATTACATCTCCTTTTCAAAAGTCACTCAGGTGTTTCTGTAAATCTTATCTCCAGTGCCAATCTGCCCTTGTAAAGAACTGGCTGTGTGACTGATGGTGAATAAAGTAAAATCAAACTTACTAAAAAAATTTTTTTAAATCTTGTTTTTTTAATTGACATCTACATGAATTTTCACCAGTACATGAAGTTAAAATTATTTTGATTGTTTGATTGTTCTTACCACACTAGGGAGAGTGGATGCTTTGAAGTCCTAGTATCAAAATCTTTTCACCTCTTTCTTAGCTAATTCAAGTCCTGCTCAGGGTTGGAGTTGGCAAAATCTGTCAACAGCTGGTAACCAATATTAAAGGTGTCTGTTTCCTAGTAGATGTGTGACCACATATGAAAAACCAACTAACTACCAGTCCAATAGGCTGTGTCAGCAAGAAAGCCCAAAACAGAAGGGTTCTGGAAATTGAACTCCCATCTTTTCCCCCAAGTGGTTCCTCCATTATAAGCTGGAGGAACCACTGAAAGGACATAGGCGGTCTCTGTACTGGCTCCTGGTTATGCTATACCTGTCATAGAAATAAATAGCTTCAGTTTGGAGTTGTAAATATACCACCTTTGAACTGGATTCTGCAAACCTTTGTCAGGAAAACTCCTCTTGAACTCATATCAAGAACTTTGCATGAGAGAAGCATGCAGGATTTGTCACCTACGAGTTGTTCACCATCCACACATGTTAATGTGCATCAACATTTTAGGATAAGGAACTGACAACACATTTTTGCCTAGTAGGATGACAGAAACGAAGAGCAACAGGAGCACTTGAGTCAGATCCACAGGGCTGGATCCTCCGCTGGTGTAAATCAGCATGCCTACACTGCAGTCAATGAAACTACACTCATATTGCCTGAAGATCTGGTCCCCTGGGGCTTATTGGATGATTTTCTGCAGAAAGCTGTAGCTTGAAATAGATTTCAAAGTGTTTCAATACTATATTATTTCATATGTTGTACTTCATAGCTATCAATACATACCTTATTTCTTTTTTTATTGCAAAAATGACAGTCTGATAGGTAACTGAAACAGACTGCTTTGAAGTCCAGCTGTAATTTAGCCAAAGGTTTGAAAAGTAACTTTGGAGTATAGGACAGCATCTGGTAAATATGCTTGCCTCCTTATAAGAAATGAAATTAAAAACATTCAGGGCCAAGAGAAGCTTATTCTTGCATTCAAACTGTTGAAAATTATTAGATAGCATTCAATATATTTTCCTGCTGACCACAATATTCCTTGCAAATCATGGCACCATGCCATTTTGATACATGGCTTTTAGATTTATGCTGTATTTAAAAAACCATGGCAGGTTTCTTTAAGGGTAGGGGAATGGGGGCAGAATGGGGGTCTTGTGGTAAGGGATAAAATAAGAAATGTTAGTGTCTTTTTGAAGAAAAGTTGCTGCCAAATATTTAATTGACACAAGGCAATATTTTCACTACATATACAAAATAACAAACAGATGTTGACTTATTTTGATCAGCATCCAGATGTAGTGACCCAAGAGCTTAATATTGACCAAGGTGGTACTGACTGTCCCATCAAACACAAGACCAAATTTAATTTTTTTTTGAGGCAGAATAATTGAAACTCCAAGTACAGCATTACCATTTTTGAGGGCTAATCCTTCCCTTAATGTTTCAAGGCTACTATGCTTCAACCACTACATCCATTAGAAGTGTTCTTTTTTAAGGAAAAATGTTTTACTCAAGTGCAGCACTTTAAAGAGTATGCACTCTAAAAAGCTTTCAAGTACTCTTTTCAGCCAAAAAGATTTATTTGTACTTGTTGTGTTTTTAATAGCAGATAAAGAAAGACATATAGATAGTCTCATTCATGAAATTAAAATATTTCAGGCTCAGTTTTTATGGAATTGTCTATTTGGGGGCAAATAAGGGATTTATTCCCCTTACTGTGCTTCATTCTAGCATCATCATTGTTAAGGACTGTTAGGGTTTCCACAATCAGCCCCCAATTTTCATTGGTTTTATAATTTAGTCATAAAAAAGGCAGTGCTGCAGACAGAAACTTGGCATATGAGGTCTCAGTCCAGGAGTTTTATTGCCTAAAAGAGGAGTCTGACTGTTTAGTTACAAGACCATTTTTTAAAACTTGGTTGACACTTGTTTTGTGTCTTTGACATTTAGAAAAGATAAGTTTGTCAAAGCATTTCAGCTGCAAATCTATAATATAGAGATTAAGATTTTGCTGGTACAACAGAACAAACATAATTTATTACAGCAATTTGGACTACATACTTTATGCTCCTAATTAAAAGTCTGAACCTCATTATGGATAATAAAAAGAAAGGAAGAGAAAAAGGTGTTTTTGGTTTAAGTTAATAATTTAGTGGGTAAACACAAAAGAAAAAGGCTTCTAGTGTTCTTGATCATTTGCATGCCTCAGCTATGGCCCGGTGTCAGATATTGGCATTGACTGATCATGAATAGACATGACAGCATTATAGCTACTGATGGATCTAGACTGATGAAAGTCAGCCTATATTTTGTGCTGAGCCCCAGAAGGTGAAAATCTGCACAAGGTTGGAGAGCCAACACAGTCCAAGAGTGACTATGTGCAGAATTTGGACAAAAGTCACTATATTTGCACATTTTATTATTAGTGTCTTTCTTTGGAGATTCATCTCTGAACCAGTGCCACCCATTCTCACTGACAAGGGGAGGTTAGGGAGAAGAAACACTGCCTGCTATACCTGAGAGTGAACTCTTGGTTCTCAAGAGCCTTGGGATGGGAAAATGCAAGTTAAAATGCCTTATACCAGCATTAGTGAATATAGCATTGGGATGAAATCTTAAGCCCTCTGAAACCAATTATAACATTTCCTTCAACTTCAGTATGGTCAGGAATTTACCTTTGGTCTTCAGGGTGTGGTAGCAACTCAGCCAATTTGCACTCAAAATACAGCTTTCTAATGACCAGTACCAATAACCATGTTTGAATCTACCTTTGCAAAGCCATCTGGCTACACCGTCTCACAATATGTACAGAGGCTGCTATCAGGGACAAATGCAATGTAATGATACAACCTATTATATCAAACTCAATCCTGACCCTCCTGGTCCCACTGAAGCCAATGGAGATTTTGACATTAAAGCCACTGGGGTAGAGTCAAATACTCATTGCATCTCTAAATACTAGGAAATATATTGATTGTTTTATAAGCAGCTGATATTTGATCACTGTGCTACCTCCATAACAATTAAACTATTTATCTCTCTCTCTCTCCCCACCCCAATCTCAAGAGTATATGCCAGGCCGATTTGGACATGAGGATTCCTCAGGGTATGCTATGTTTTCTGTTGCTGGTATTCAGAATAAAAACATGATTATATCAATGTTTGTCCGAACACGCAAGTCTTCTGGTTTGTTGCTGGCTTTGAGGAATAGTACATCTCTGTATATAAGAATCTATTTGGAGGATGGGAAGGTAGTAATACGAGTTCCAAATTCCATCCAATTATTAGGACCAAACAAGATGAACGATGGAACTTTTTACTTATTATCACTAAAAATAGAGCCAAATAAGATTGAGTTGTTTCAGTCATCTCAGTACCTAGGCTCTATATCTACTCCAAGACTAACAGTCCAAGGTAGGGATATCCTTTATATTGGAGGACTACCAGATAAACAAGAAACCAACATGAATGGTGGATATTTCAAAGGTTGCATCCAAGATTTAAGACTGAATAATCAGCAACTGGAATTCTTCCCCATCACCGCTTCTCTGAATTCTATTATCAACCAAACACTGATCAATGTGACCCAGGGCTGTGCCAGTGACAACACTTGCAAGGTAAGGATGCCATTTTTCACACTATGTTTTAATGATTCCAGCTGAGACTCTTCTTGTGACCCATTGATCTTTCAACACCATATGTGATACTGCCATCTTAATATACACACATATATGTATAAACATGTTTATATATGTATAAACGTATAATCTAAACATGCTGTGTGTGTGTGTGTGTGTGTGTGTGTGTGTGTGTATCTATCTATATAAACACATGCTAATCAGAGCAGATTTTGCTAAAAAGTGCTGGCATCAACGCCAAATATTTTTCTGGAGTGTAATAAGTCTATGTAAAAAGGAGGTACTGATGATCACCATTTCCTAATGTAAATGTAAAGTAATACATTCATGTAGCCTGCAAGGCTCTATAGCTTTCTGTTCAAAGAAAACAGAATTTCCTCTCTGCCTTTTCTCAGTGGGGAATGCACTGAAACTTGCTTATGTTTTGACTATTTTTTTTCTTTTTTCCCCATTTAGTCCAACCCTTGCCACAATGGTGGCATTTGCTATTCTCTCTGGGATGACTTCACTTGCACATGTCCCCCAAACACAGCAGGGAAATCATGTGAACAAGTAAAGTGGTGTGAGCACAGTCCTTGCCCTCATGAAGCACAGTGCCAGCTTGTGTATCAAGGATTTGAATGTAGGTATCTTTTAGTCATTCATACAGGGATTGGGGGATTGATACAACCTTGGGCCATATTGATTTCTGTAAACATTTCCTTTAAATCGAGCATTCCAGTCATCTTAAGACTCGCCAGATTTTCTATTTGTATTTATTTTTGTTGATCACCATTTCAGCAGAACCCTGGTTATTGCCACAAAAGGTAATATTAATGAGAGGACATAGTGGAATTTACAGCCATCACTTGTGCCTGGTTCTAGATTGCAATCTGTTTCAACTTGTATCCCCTTTTTTAAAGCAGCCTCCACTTTTGAAAAGAATGGAGATTACACCAGTTATTCAATGCATCTACTTTGTGTAGACATAAAATAGATCTCTCACTTTGTCAGAGTGCCACTGTGTCCCACATTTTTTACTGCAGACAGATAAGAGGATGCTATCCTGGATTAACCTTAAGATGCTTTGCCTCTTCCTGGAAAGGCAAGCTGCATGACAGACATTTGCACACTGCTTAAGTCCATTCTCTTAGAGGTGAAACATCCATTAAAAAATCTTAAGCATACATTTGAAAGATAGTTGTGTAATGGCACCTTAAATATAAACCAACAAACCACACGAGTTCCAAGGATATGGTTGGTTTGAAAATTAATGACCACTTGTCATCATGGCAAGCAATGGCATTAGCCATTTCACAGTCCTCTTTTCTATTCCTACCCCTTTCTCTCCCTCCCCACAAATTATCCTTCACATAGAGGTGAAATTTAAAAAACAAGCCTTCTTCAGAATTTCCACTTTTACACAATGAAAACCTCCATGATGTTTCAAAGCATGGATAATGACTATAAAGTGCAATGGGAGCAGTTAGAATGGCTGACTCGTATGAATGAAAAAGTTGGTCGGCAAAAGGCTTCCGGCACAGAGGAAATGGAACAACCAACAAACAGGTCAATATGTGACTTCTTTTTGGTTGAGGCAGGAAAGGAGACTTGCTAGAGTGATCATTAAAACACATATTTAAAACCAAAATTAAAATATTGCACATTTTCAACTGCCCTTGCTTTGATGAAAACATTAAAATGTCGTATTACAGCAGGATATAAACATACACACAGGGGGAAGTAATCGACCTCTTTCCTTCTGTTAAAATCAAGGCAATCTACATCGTTAGCAGTCCTTACCTTTGAATTTCTTTTCTGTTTTATGTGGTAATAGTAGGGGGTTTACTTAATGGACATTCATAAATGCCTGGCCTACAAAGCTGTATCTTTAACTATTTGCATCAGTATGTGAACTTCAGTGTAGGCAGACATAATATTATGCCTTCAAGCTGACAACTAATAATACTAAATTAGATAATCAGCATAAATTTTGAATGATCATTTATTATTTGTAGTGAGTAACACCTAAAGGCCTCAGTCAGTGACTGTTCTTCAGTTGTCCTAGGCCAGAGGTTCTCAAGTCACTCTTCGTCAGACTCAAGGCATCCCTCAGAAAATGTCAGCTTTTAGATTTCACTCATTTCTTGACTACAGAAAAACAATAAACCAGTTCTTCCGTTGCAAAGAACTTAGACCACAACAGAATGTCCACATGCTTTTGGCACTATGGATTCCTATTTGACATTTCTGGGAAGTAGCAATGTCCTGGTAACCCAGGTGCAGAGAGCTCCAGAGCCACTCCTGCCCTGCTCTCATTCCACACTGCAGGGAGCACCTGTGCAGGGAGCCTTACCTGGCTGGGGAGAGTGGCATCAGTGAGCAGGCTCGTCCTTCTAGCCCCTGCTTTCTACCTGCCAAGTGGGGGCAAGTGGTGGGCAGGGGAAAGGTACTGGGGGATACAGGTATAGAGGGGAGCTGGGGGTGGGGACAAGGGGTAGGAGTCAGACCACCTGCCCCCCTTCCCCATCTGTCCCCCCTGCTGCTGCTTTCTCTGCCACAGCAGTGGGGGAGGGATTGTGAATTTAAGAAAATCCTCAATAATTAGTTCTTTACATGGAAAATTATAAGAAATTTGAAGTGTTCCATGTTTAGAATCTAAGTATTGGTGAATCATCTAAAACTTGAATTTGTCTTGGATTCAGGTAAATACAGTATAATACAATTACTAATTTTAACATAAAGACTTTGGCAACCTAAGGGCATGTGTAGATGAAACGAGGGGCATGCGCGCATGACACTTTACAGTGGGTTAAATGCTTTTGCACTGCTTCAGTGGTGTTGGTGTTTGCACATGTTGGCAGCGTATTGCACATTGATTTCAGATGCTGTAGCAAACCAAAACACCTTCAAGGAGTTTTAGTTTGCTGCCCTATAGCTGTGGAGCAAAGCACTGGGCTCCATGTGGCTCAGGGGCTCTGCAGGCAGCCCGTGCTGGCTCCTCCAAAGGATTAACCAAAAAAAACCAGCGAGCCTGATCTTTTTTTCTTTTTTTTTGTCCCCTGGAGCCTGTCTGCTTGCCTGAGCTGTATGGGGACCCAGTCCTTCCCTCCATAGCTCTGTTGCCCCTCAAGGCCTCCTGAGCTGGGTGCCTGTGGGCGGGTGCCGCCTAAGGGACGTGCCACTGCTGCAGAGGGAAGCACCACCCCCTTGGCAGCTCAGGGACTGCTCTGCCCACCACCAGCTTGCCCTCCCCTCCCCGCTGCCAGAGAGGCAGGTAAGACATGGGTGTACATGACACAGGGGTTTACTTCACCCTAAATTGAAGTCGTGTTTTTAAAAACCCACCACTTCAATTTAGGGTGAAGTAAACCCCCATTTCATCTACACATGCCCTTAAGCAAGACAGCCCTGCTCCCCAACACTCTTCCCCGCAAAAAATCACACTCTTGGCTGGCTTAACTATTTCAGCAAAAGCCTACTAATATAAATACAGTTATGCTAGCAAAACATGTCCTTCTGGGAACATAACTGCTTCTCTTTGGAGAACTAGTTTTGAATATACCAGGAGTGCCACTGGGGACGGAAAGGAGAGCCAGCTCACCTCTACTACTAAACCATACAGGCTCTCCATAAAAGTATGGAGAAGTCCTAAATATATGATGAGAAACAACAGGAAGAGATAACAAGCAGATAGGGAATGCAAAGTAACAGTGAGACAACTGTGACCAGCATCACAAGGAATATATATTTATAAATGGATGGTTTAATATATTTTAACAGAAACCGGGGTAATGAAAAAACACCAAATATATTTGTGAAAATATTGGATTCTAATGTAAAAACAAATTTTGATACAATGTTGTCCATCAATTCTGACTTATTGCAATGACAAATGAGTGTGCTGTTCCTTCTAAGTTACACCAGTATAGTATAATTTACATCAGTAGAAATATGCCAGTGCCAGGAGAACTTAGCTCAAAACATAATGGACCTTACCTGTCTGTCTTTAGTTTTACACTGATTGTCATTCTGCAGACTAATGGAAATTATCCCTGATTTGGACCAAAGTGTTACTTATGACCTCACTTTATGCTTCTAAAAACATAATCGTGTTTATTTCTCATCTGACAAAAGAAGGGAAGAAGATGGCACCATGCATAAATCACAATGTCCCAGTGACTTCAGTAGAAGTCTGCTGATCTTCACCACATGAGAATTTGACCTTTCCCACTATATATTTCTTACACACTGACAATGGTTTCAGAGATGTACAAGACATGAAGGAACAGGACCTGATTTTTATCTCATATTTGTTTTGCACTTGTATAACTCCATTAACTTATACCTGATTTCCACAGGTATAAATGAGATAAGAATTAGGCTTACAGGTCATATCCACATCTACACATGTATTAATGCACTTTAGTTAATGTACATTAAATCTAGTAACTCCATTTTGAGGTACTAAGAAAATACACCTTAGCCTATCTTAATGTGCATTAGCTAAAGAGCACAGTTTTTTAAAGTGATGCTTAATGCTCATTAGTCTATTTTAATGAACGTTAATAGCACAGTTTTTTCATGACGCTTTAATGCTCATTAAAGCACATGTGTAGACATGCCCACTGTTCATCTCCCAAAGAATGTGTAGCTTAAGAGAAAGACCAGAACCCCCAAGGGACATAATAGATTTAGAACCTCAACTGATATAAAGCAGTAAAGCTCCATGTACTTAACTGAAATTATGGATTGGCATTGGAATGGTATAATTTAGAATGAAAAGGGTTAAAATTTGTGTGCATCACAGCAGAAATGTAGGGATTGAAAAGGCAGCAGGAAGGGCATTTTATTTCAGTGCATAAGAAAAATTGTTCTGGAAAAACACGGTCGAAAATTGCTGTGATTTCTCACTGGACGTTATTATTATTCCATAGGCGTTGCTAATGCAGTGTTTAGTGGCAGAAGCAGTGCAATATTTTACAGAAGCAATGGGAAGATAAGGAGAGACCTCACCAACATTGCATTTGGTTTTCGGACCAGGGATGCTGATGTGATACTTCTGTATGCTGAAAAGGAGCCAGAGTTCATTATCATAAGCATTGAGAATTCTAAACTAGTGTTTCAGCTTCAAAGCGGCAATAGCTTTTATATGCTGAGACTGGTTAGTTCCCAAACAGTGAATGATGGAAAATGGCACCAAGTAACTGCTTCAATGCTAGAACCCCAATCTCAGTCCTCTAGGTGGCTCATTGATATAGATGATAAAAAGGACACTAGTACAGTTGCCACAGGAAGCCTCAACTTTTTAAGAGAAGACATAGACGTTTACATAGCTGACAAAGCTTTCGACAATCTGGATGGCTTAAGAGGCTGCATGAGTACTATAGAAATCAATGGCATTTTCCTCTCCTACTTTGGAAATTCTGATGGCTATACTACAAAACCTCAAGAGGAGCAATTCCTTAAAATATCGGCAAATTCTGTGGTTACTGGCTGTTTGCAAGTGGATGCTTGCAGCTCAAATCCCTGCATGCATGATGGAATATGTGAAGACTTATACAGTTACTACCATTGTACATGTCCAAAGGGATGGACTGGCACACACTGTGAAATTAACATTGATGAATGCTCTTCGAATCCCTGTATTCATGGAAACTGCTCTGACAGAATCGCATCTTATGAGTGCAGCTGTAAACCTGGGTACACAGGGGTAAACTGTGAAGAAGACATAGACAATTGCTATGGTCACCAGTGTGCAAATGGAGCCACCTGCATAGATGGGATTAACAGCTATTCCTGCCGATGTGCAACTAACTTCACTGGAAAATTTTGCAGGTATGTAAGTGAGGCAGCTATAGAAGAACTTCCTGTCTTTAGAGCTCAACCACAAGGTGTTTTCAAGGTTGTATAAATTGAATTGAGAAAGAATGAATCCCTAAGCCAAGCCTAGTTTAATGCTTAGGCTTTGTACACAACTTACTACACAAATGACTTATATTTCAAGGTAATTTAAGTTAATTGTGCACCTCTGAAGTCAGGACTACCATTTTGATTCTAATGGGGAAAGCTAGCAATTGCAGATAGTGGTTTTATGCAGGTAAATCCAAACAACACAACATAGAATTTGTATTGGGTCTGGGTAAAATTTTCAAGTAAATTTCTGGTGACTTAGGAACTTAAATCCCATTGAAAGTCAATGGGATATAGCTCTTAAAACACTTAGGTGATTTAGAAAAAAATAAGGTTTTTGAAAAAAGGGTTTTTTTTAGTATTATGAAAAGCCATTTATGAGGCTTAAGTCATTCAAAATAAGGTTCTCACAGAATTTCCATGACCCAGAGCTGAAATACTGTGGTGGAGACTGGAGGGCACTGACAGACATGCAGCTCCCCACTGTAACTCATGGTGCTTCACAGAAAGTGTCATGAGTTACAGTGATGCCTCAACCTGATGTTCTCTGTTTGGGGAGGTTGCGGGGAGGAGAATAGAGCTCCACTTTAAAGCTGGTCCAGTGGAGAGTGGCTGCATGTCTGCAGCCTTTCCTTTAGCCCCGCTCTTCCCCCAGCTCTGGTGCTATCTGCAGGGTGGGGTGGTGGGGCTCCAGGCTGGGGTTCTCCCAGCCTGCACTGGAGAGGGGGTTCAATTGAAGCCCCCCTCCCAAAGGGGCTCCAATCCACACCCCTCCCCAGCACAGGCCAGGCAAACCCCAGTCCGGAGCTCCCTCCCCTCCTCCATCTCCCCTCTCACCTTGCAGATAGCAAGGGGGCAGGGCTGGGCTGCATCAGCCCAGCCCTACTTGCATGCAGGGACAAACATAAGTTAATGAAGGTGCTCTACTTTGGAGCACCTTCATCTGAACCCTCATTAAATGAGGGTTAATTTGTTGTGCAATCAGCCACTTTTAAAGCACTCTGCAGCTGTGCACTTCTGTCAGGGTATGGCCGTACAGCGCTTTCAAGGGGCCGATCATGTGAAAAATATCATTTCTGTCAGCGCCCTGGATTTTTCTTTAGTTTGATCTAACAAATGTTTCCTTGAGACATCAGAGACTGGCTTCAGTGGAAGTTGTCCTTGAGTGAGGGCTGCATGATTAGTACAAATGCTATACATTCTTCTAATCATAAATGCTACTGCAAAAGTTGAAACACATGCAAGGCTTCAATGTGCTTAAGCTTTTTATTTTTAAAATTATCCAGAGACATAAGGAGTTAGAGTCCCCTTATTTCAAGGGAGTCATACTGATTTATGCTAGCTGAAGAACCCACCCTTTAGTTTCATTTTAAAATACACAAACAGCTTTGGAAGCTTTATATTTTATTTTAAGCCATTACCAAGTTTTGTTGCTCTGGTTTAGTACTAAGCCTTGCACACAAATCCCATCATTTACATTCTCTGCTAAATTGTATTACTATCAAATAAAGCCACAACACTTACCTAATGGCAGGGTCTATTTTCTATTTGATAATGAGTTATTATAGTGGTTGTAGTGGAGGTTTGGAAAGCACTTTAAATACAGGTATGAATGTCTGTTTTTGAGATTCATCATGATCAGCTGGATATCACACTTCACTGCTTACCTTCCTTTCTTTGATGAAAAACTGAAATTCGCTCTGTACTATAGCCTGATTTAATAAGCCAGGCAGCTACCAACACACTAACTATAGCAGATACTGAATGGATAGATTCAGGCAGGCATAGTTTTTCTCCCTGAAATAAAAGTCTGCAACCATTAGAAAATCATAGAACCATAGAGAAGTAGAGCTTCAAGGGACATCCACAACTCATCTAGTCCAACCCCATCCTGATACAAGATCACACTATCCAAATCATCCTTTACAAATCCACTAACGCAATGCTTCCCAAACTTTCCCTCAGCATGGCCCCTCACACCCAACCTGCAGCCCACCCCCCAGGTGCTCCTCACTCCCCACCCACAGCCCCCTGGTCCTGCCAGTGTCCCTGACTCCTGACCCACAGCCCTCTGGCCCTGCCAGTGCTGCTCACTGCCAACCCCTAACCCTCCACCAGGTGCACCAGGGCCAGGGCCTGCAGCCCCCTACCCTGCAGCAGTGCCCAGGCCCCAGCTGCCACTCATGGAAGATGGTAGCTGCTGCAGCCAGGGTGGAGTGCAGAGCCTGGGTCCCCTTTCTGTCCCCTCCCCCAAGGGTGGCACAGCCAGAGTGGAGCCTGTGACGGGGTGGAGGATGAGGGCTCCCTGCTTCAGGCTTGGGGGTCCCTGCCCTGCTGCCCTCCCTGCAAGGGCTCTGGAGCCCAGTGGGCAGGACCCAGCACAGGAGGGAAGACTGCACCACTATGGCTGCCAAGCTAAGGTGCCCCCTACCTGCCTGGCAGCAGCAGAGGCACAACTCCACACTGCTGCCATGTGTCAGCTTGGTGGCACAGCTCTCCTTCTCATGCCAGATTTCACCTGCCAGGCTGCAGAGGTGGCTTCTGCCTGGAGCTGGTCTGGCCTGGCTGCAGCCCTGCACCGGGCACAAAAATCTTGGGGGGCACACGCCCCCCTGCTACATTACCTTGACCCTCCCAACCTATTCCACCACATTGCCTGTGCTTCCCCACCTCTCAATACATTGCTTCTGCCCCCCTCACCTCTCTGCCCCCATAAACCTACCTGGAGGGAGCTGCGAGAGTTCCACCACTGCTTGGCTGTCACATGCATGTACGTGTGCACATGCACGTGGCACCCCTGCCTCCAATCACCCTACCCCACTCCCTGAGTCCCAAGCAGCCCCTTGCAGGCTGGCATTCTACCAGTCTGCAAGGGAAAACATCTGTTTTTCTCCTTTAAAGGAAAAAACCTGCATTTTTCTCTGTTAAAGGAGGAAAATCTGCATTTTTCCATAGTGAACGGAAAACCCGGATCCCTGTAATTATTGCAACCCCATCCGCTCATGTTGTGACCCCATTTGGAGTTGTAACCCACAGCTTGGGAACTGCTGGTCTAACCCTTTAGTAAAACTACACAGATAACCCTGAGACGATACAGGACATAACACCTCAACCTACCATAGCTAAAGAAGGGTGACCACGGTGGCCTATCTCCTGCTGCTATAAAAGTTGTTAATATATTCTCAAGAGATCCTGGAAAGAGGGCTGGCCATGGCTTCACCTAGGGGAAAGCAAAAACTCCCACAGTCCACACCAATCCAACAATGGGGTAGAATTCCTTCCTGTCCCCAAATATGGCAATCAACCTGATCCCAAGTGGAACCCTAGCAAGGAACCTCAATGTTTAAGTCTCATAAGTGCATGCCTCTCAAAATCCATAGCCAATACTCAGTATCTCTGAAGAAACTTAAAAAAAATGAATGTCTATATGTGGTGCATCCTCATGCAGCTTCTCAAACAGCATGCCTATTTTCAGTTAGAACACGTTGCCCTTGTATGTATTAAACGTATCCATCATCATAAGCAGAACTGTTGAAGTGATAGGGAGTACCTGTGGTGTGAAGTACGGCTTGCTTAAAGTCTAATAGTACTTGAATCTGGCCCTTACTCACAATTAATTTACAATACAGAAAGCCTAACAATTTATAACTCAACCAGACTGGCGTACTTAAATTAATTAATTTATTAGATGTCTATCCCAGCCCTCTGCAAGACAGGCTAAGGGTAGTTTACAATAGAAAACAGAAGAATTATAAAAACAGATGAAAGCAGGTGAAGAACAAACTCCACAGATAACATAATTGTCTGTTGAAGGTCTGCCCAAATAAAAGAGTCTTACAGTGCTTTCAGGAGATGCCTTAAACTCTGATGGAGCACACATGGGACTGCTAAATAAATTAACAAGAACAATTTAGACTTTGTCCTACTGGTGGCTGGCAGGCACCAGGCTGGCAGTGGATAACATTAGGCTCAGGGGCCCCTGCAGCCACTTCTTCCACTGCAACATGGCATGAGAGGACCCAGGAGTCCACATATTAGGGCTGTGCGAAGCTTTGATCCCTGATTTGATTAGGCAGAGATTCAGCCCGATTCGGTGGCTGAATCTCTGAATCTGAATCGAATCAGAGGATCCTTTAATTTCTCTGAATCGAATCAGAACCCTGCAAATCAATTCAGAGAGATTTGGAAAGAGTCGGCGATTTGGACATAGACACAGCTTACAATGTTTTTTCTACATACCTCTAGGTAGCAGGTGGCCCATAAATGCTGTGATGCTGGGGCACATGGAGTGTCCCACAGAAGCAAGGGGGGATCCCCAGTGTGCTTAGCTGCAGATTGGAAGTGGACCAGAAGCACTTCCGGTCCACTGGGGAGCACACTGGGGGGCTCCCTCGCACTCCCATGGCTCGGCAACTGGTGCCTCCTGGACCTGGGGGAGCACTTGGGGTCCCCCCAAGGCCGATTACCGAGCTGGGGGTGGGGGGTGCCCTCCAGTATGCTCCCCAGCAGACCCAGAAGTGGACCAGAAGTACTTCTGGCCCACTTCCGGGTTTGCCGCCAAGCACGTGAGAAGCCCGCCTGTTCTCCTGTGGGACGCTCCATGCATCCCAGCATTCACAAGCCATACTGGTACCTCAAGGTATGTAGAAAAAATATTTAAAGCCGTGTCTATGGCTGAATCCCTGATTCTCTGATTCAGCATCAAATCTTCAGATTCTGATTGGGCTGAATCAAATCAGAGACAGTGATCTGAATCAACAAATTGAATCACTGTCCCAAATTTGGGCCAAATCTGAATTGAATAGGGCCCGCTTCGCACACCCTTACCACAGATCACCATCACAGCCCAAGCAGCAGAGGGTAGGGTCTGCATGGCTCCAACATCACTCATGCATTTGGGGGGAGGAGGGGGATGGAGGGGACATCCCAGGTGGGCCCTCTGCATCCTGAGGCCTGTGCAGTGTTAAGTTGGCTTTCTTATTTATCTAGATACAAAAGGTTACCTTCTACAGTCTGTGGGAATGAGAAGAAAAACATCACTTGTTACAACTATGGCAACTGTACTGAGCGTGATGGCAAGCTAAGATGCATGTGCCTACCCGGCTTTACTGGAGAACGGTGAGACACTTTAGAATTTATCATGTACTTTCCCCACTGCAGGGTGTCGGGAGTATTGCACAGGCTTCACGGGACATCTCTTCCAGAAAGCATCCTCTTTCTGGAGGAGTGATTGAAATGGTATCACTGCTTCAATCCTACTCCTGCAATAAGAGACACAGAGGTTAAACGGAGTAGTCCTCTCTGAGGTCAGCGTGAATTCAAGACTTCAAGAGCAAGGCAGTTTCATTTCAGCAGCTCCAGTGACTTCAACGAGGAATTAATTTATTTTAAGATTTTTTTGCCTGAATGCCATTATATTTTACATACCTCTTTCTACATGCACATGTTCCTGGGTCCATGCTAGTTCCAAATATGACAAAATAGAACATTTTGATGATTCAGATGCATGCCCATATAAATGCCTTTGGACACACATTCATTTTTAGTGCTACAAAAAGAGCATGCTATGAGGTTGTGCACACGTGCATAATTCCCTGGCTAGAGTCCTCTCAAAGACATGTTTTCCAGCCAAATGGTAATAGGGGATTGCTCTGTAGTTCTCTTCCTGCCAGGTGAGCCAGTCGGGAACACACAGCTGATCAGGCTGTCCAAAACCCAGCTGCAGTGGGAACAGCTGGGGTGGTTTTGGTAGCCAGTCAGCTGTTTCTGCCACTGTGGTAGTGTAACAAGTGCTTGTCCCAGGGGTGGATGATGCCCCCTGGTGGCCACTTGGCCCTTGCCCACTTGTGACTCTCCTTGGGTAATCTCCCCTTCACTCCCCCACCAGGCCTTGATGTTATTTAACTTTTAGAGAAAGGGAGGGTTCCCCAGGGCTTCCCAAGCCTGGTTTTACTCTTATGACCAGAGGTGCCCATGGTCAAAAATTTGCAATTAGCCTTAAGGGCTAATTACATGGGTTCCATCTTCCCCAATACCCACTCCCATGCCTCTCAGATGGCATGCTAACATGTGCCCTTCCTGATCTATGGGCTCCCAGTCCCAATTCCTTGACCCTCCTGGGCTACAAGCTCTGTAGACCATTCAGTCTCTGGCAGTAATCCCTAGGCCCCTCTCTAGGCCCTGACCCCACTCCTGGCCAATTGACATCTCTGGGCTCCCCGGCCATGGCAATTGCCAGCAGTGGTCCCTGACCTTCAGGCTCCCTAGACTCTGGCCCCACTCTTAGGCTCCCCAGCCCTGCTGACAGCTGCCTCTCCTGGGCTGCTGACTTCTGGGATCCCTGGCCCTGGGCTTATATACCTCAAGCCCAGTCCCCTTCTGGTCAGATGACTTTCTACTTGGCCACACCTGCAGGCTGCTTCTCTCTCAGCCTTTCATCTTAAAGTGACAGGTGCTTGTACCCTGACACCAGGATCTTCCCTACCCCTGGCCCACCTCACCTCCAGTCTCTCAATGCCTTTAACATGATTTTGTTTGTTGTTTAGGGAGCCAGTCCGTGGGGTAGCTTCACTGGTTGCTTTATCTGGCAGCCTGTACTCCCTTTTGAGTGCTTCTGTTTTAAGGGAGCACTCCCATACGCTTCTCAGGACTGTCGGAGCCTCAGCTGTCATAGCCATGGCCCCCTTTTTCTCTAGCCGCACCCTCAGATTTGGTCTACTGTTTAAGACCTCAGCTCCCAGATATCAGCCCTACCTTGGGTTTCAGTCTTAGGATTGAAACCCCTCCTAGGGTTTCAGTCTTACCTCCAGCCTTAGCCCCGTTAGCTCAGGGCTAGCTCCTGGAACAAGTAGCAGGGGGTGCCACACAAGCACCCCTGTTCATGGCCTCCTCCAGCCCTGTAGCCACTATCCAGTGCTCCAATACAAACAGAACAAAAGCACAAGCCAGCTGCTTCATAACACAAATACTTTCCCTCCTCAAGGTAAATGTTTTCTGTAAACCCTACCCATAGGAGCCTTCTTCCCCAGTTCAGCTGGGGGGCTGGGGTGCCTTTACTGTCCATCTCCAGCAGCCCCCTACTCCCAAAAACTTCTCTCCCTGCTTCAGGCAGGGGCCGCACCCTGCATGGTCAGAGACAAGCCTTATATCCCCAAACCCAAGCTTCTTCTGATCAACTGACCAGGTCTTCTGTACCCAGTGACCAGGTGCAGCTAATTGTTTCATTGGCCACCTGACCTTATGTGTCCCAGGCCTCGTCCACCTGTTATTCCTTATTGTCCTTCCTGGCCTCGAGTCCCTCACCCTCTCAGGCCTTTCTAATAGCAGGAGCAGAGGTGCCCTGTTAGAATCAATGCAGCCTCATCAGCTGTTGATGCAGGGTGACAACAGCTGATCAAGCGATCTGAGAACCATGACACCAGCAGCTGATCAGGCAGTGTCCAGTGCCCAACTGGCTATTTCCACTGAAGAGAAACAGAGCAACAAGGCTGCAATTATGCTTACTGTGGACTGTTAGGATGTCAACTGCTCTCTTTTCCTCTCTCTTAGAGGGGCAGAAGGAAAAACAGAGCACTTTTGGGATGCTGGGGTCTGGGAGACCTTTGTAGCACTACATCTAACAGTCCACAATGTACATGTACCACTACAAAGAAATTTCTATTGAAAGCCACAACGTCTTTGTGGTGGGTCCACCATTTTTGTAGTGCTACAAACAGCTTGAATATATGGACACTCATTTTATATAGGGCTATAAGGGTGTATGTAGTGGTACAAAAGTAATGTGTGTCCAAGGCCAAATATACATGGTGTCAACCGGTTTCACTGAGCTGTCATCCAGTCTGGATATAAGAGATGTTCTCTGACAGAGTAGGGCATTACACTAAACACAAACTGGCATTGTAACTTGCTATTTATTACATGTGAAATTATTATACATAATTATTATAAATTATTAAGTATAGATTTATACTTAAGCATAAATTTAGCACAGCTCTTAGCTAGCAAGAAGGACTGGCCTACTGCACACATGCCTAAATTTGTATTGCATTGTACCAAGGCAGTTTATTATTTGTATTAATTCTATGCATTTCAACAGTACACAAATTCCCAGTCAGGATCAGGGCTTCATTGTCCAAGATGCTGTACAAGCAGAGGAAGATGTAGTCCCTATCCTAACAAATTAACTCAAGTTTTGTTCAGAGGCATTCAGCACTTTGCCCAATAGCAGTGATAGAAATGTTGCTATAAAAAGATAGAAAACATAAAACAAATGATTTTGCTCTTAATACAAAGAAAATTAAATCAGTAGTGTGCAGTGTCCAAAGCCCCCACAGGCTCAAGCTGTGCAACTCAGCGAGTACAGAAGTTTCAACTCAAGTTTTCTGACTCTCTTAAATAACTTTTTAATGCCCACTGACTTTGTGGAATCACTACAGTAAGTTGTAAATGATAGATGAAATGAAACATTCCTGCCCACCCAGTACAGGCTGCACTTGGCAATCACTGCTGTGCTATAATATTTATCTCAGACAGCCAGAAAGGCCTCCTGCCAATCCCAGAAGATTTGGAAAAGGAGAAAAATAAAAATAAATCACCTTCTCCCCCAGTGTTTGGTGTGTATTTTGCTGGGGTCTTCAAGGTAGGAGAAAAGTGTGTGTGTATGTGGGGGTGGGGCTTCTCCCTCCTAACCCCTAGGCATCTTGCTAACTAGAGCTTTGGCAATGAATCCTTTCTTACATCCTTCACCACTGGCTGGCAATAACTTTTATTTTATAGATTCCATGATCTTAATTGAAATGGTGATGCTGCTTATAGACTGCAGCACCACAATAGAGCACTTCAGTGACACCTACACTTTTTTGGTCCCTAAATTGCAAAAATATTTCATACCTTTCCTCCAAGTTGCCAACAGGTAAACAGCGGTGAGTAAACTATATCAGATTGTTACCATGTGTAAAATACACAGGACTTATTTTACCAGCATATAGTATGGTAACATGTGAGCATAGGGAAATTAAAAACCACTTTTTCACTTATTAATTGGATTGATAAAATTGATGTACAGTATTCTTTTAAGAGCATAGCCAGTCCCTCAGAAAATGTTCAACCTATGCCTTATGAAAATTACTGAAGTACATTTTGACAGACTTTGGGTCAAGCACAAAAGAAAGAGGGTGGTAGTATTCAGACATGGAAAGCTCATTTTTAGGAGAAAAATTCAAACTATTTATTACAAAATAACTCATGGACTTAAAGCTGGGAATTTCAACATGAACCAAGGGAGTTCAATTTCCAGCTTGAACTGAAATTCCAATGGACTTAAGTTCCCACAAAGTCTAAGTGTGCTTCTATGCCTGAACATTTTTATATTGGAAAGCTTTTGCCAAATTGCATCACTTTGAGCTATATAATTGATCCACTACAGTCCATGTTATCATCTTACCATCATTGTTCAGTGACTGGACAATTGAAACATTTTAATTAATTAATCAAGTATGAGTGTTTTATGTGAATAAGAGCCCTTCTCGGACCATCTATACAAGCAAAACTTATTGGCAGGATTGCTTGAAATTGACTGTGACTATGGTCAAACTTATTGCAATTCAGAGAAAATTTCATAAACATATTTCTTTTGCAAAAACAGATTGGGTCTACTCATTAGATGATATTAAGACTGGTTTGTGGGTCATTGTAAAATATTGGGAAAAGTTTTGTCACAGCAACAAAAAACATTTAAATTAACAAATCAGTCACAGTACACTTTTAAATGCATGTTAGATTGTCATGAAAAGCTATGAGAACTCAAATACAATTAATTTTATTTTATAATGAAAATTGTGAAGGCCATTGTATATTTCAGTAAACATTTACAATCTAAGACTATGCTACACTGAACATATCTACATTTCCTGGGGCTTCTGATCCTCAGCTAGATCAATAGGGATTTTACTGGGCCTCTACTGGCATTTCTAGCAGGTAATATAGATGATATCTTTTATTAGACCAACAAGATTTTTGCAAAAATAATTCTTTAATTGCAAGCCTTTGGACACAAACACCCTTCATCAGGCATTGGAGAAAAGATTGTAAAAGTTGTCCTGGGTAGAAATGAAAGTTCATATTTCATAGGATTTCACAGAGGAGTCAGTAGATGAAAAACTCCTTTGGGCAGTCAGTGCTTATGAACTTTGCATAAAAGCTCATTTTGCATGCCTATAGGCTAAATCAAGCATTTAAATGGCATGTCTGTGACATCTACCATTGAATACCTGCATTCCTAAACAGTACAAGGAGCCAAAAGATTGAAGTGCAGTTAGGCAGCTAAAGTTCTGACTAAACAGTGGCCTGAGTGAACCATTCCTCTTTCTAAGGTTACTTTTTCTGTATTACTAAAGCTTATCGTCTGCTGGGCTTTTTTTTCCTCCTAGATGTGAAATGGACATTGATGAGTGCAGCTCTGATCCATGCCTGAATGGAGGCCTCTGCCAGAACTTACTCAACAAGTTCTACTGCATTTGTGACTTGAGCTTTGCCGGCCCCCGCTGTGAGGTAGATGTAAGCGACCTCTCCATTTATGTCTCTTTATTATTGTGGCAGAATCTCTTTCAACTTCTCTCCTATCTAATCCTGCGAATGGATGATGAGCCAGCAGTTGAGTGGGGTGAACAGGATGATTATTAGCAATCTCTATATTAGCATCTTAGGGCCTTGTTACATATTACCCTGGGAGCCGCACAGATGTTGAGCGGTGTTAGGGCTAGTTCAAGTTTGGAGCAGTCACACTTCAGGCCAGCAGGGGTCTGGAGGATTGGAAGGTGAGAATCCCACTCTGCTCCCATTTCAGGCTTCCCTCCTGCCCCCTGTTCCCCAGGGCTCCCCTGGTTCACACCCACCTCTGGGTCTCCCCCCTGCCCCACTTACTTATGGCTGCTCATGCTGTCTGTCTCAGGGGAGAAGGCAGGGAAGGTTAACCTGGCTGCCCAGTTGCCACCAACACTACAGCATGGGTGCTCTTCTCTGCATTTAACCTGGACCAGAGAGCAGCAGTGGCCAGACAGGCAGGTTACCCATTACCTGCCTGCTCCCCCAGAACAGATAGCAGGGGCAGCCACATGTAGGCAGGGGGCAGGGAGGGCAGCGAGCCTGATCTGGGCCAGCTGGGGTGGGGGAGGAGGGGGAAAGTAGGGATTTTATACTAAGGGGTAGCCTAGAGCGGCTGGCGTTAAGAGCTCCAGGAGCCACACACAATTACTGTATAACAAGGACCTTAAAGTCACTGAAACATAACAGAAGATGCCTTGTTTGAACAGTAAACTAATTTAGGACTCAGAGAAGCAATAAAAATACAGCTTTAAACATTATTTTCTAATTTTTTTAATTTAAGCAAAACATTTTGTTGTATTTAAATAATTCTTCAATTCTGGCTTCGAATGCAGAAGTTAATTTTCCAACTAGTATCATATTGATTTCTATTATTCAACATAAACATGAGAGATGACAAGGCCCCAGCATAAACATGCAGACCTTGTTCATGAAGCACTTTCTGCTTTGGTCTCTGCTCTATTTTGGACAGCTGCTAGCAGACCTGAAACAATGTCTCACCTTATTTTCATTGAGGTATTATATTTTGTATGTTCTCCCAGAGTCCTTCACTATAATGGATCAGAGTAGCCATGACAAGAGAAGATAAGAACCTGTGGTAAAATCCATGGATCCTAATGGCTTTAGGAAGGCCAGGATTTTACACTTAAAATATAAGCATTTTATTACTCTCATATAATGCACCATATTATCAAACAATAACGATTCAGAAATTTGGTTCATTGAAGGTAGACTCAGTAGGTAGTAAGATATTACCTTGAATTAGCCATCACTGGAAATACTGAGCCCAATCTTGCTCCTGTTAGAATCAGAAACAAAATTCTCGGAGGTGGCCTTAGGGGAAATGGTGCCCTGGGCAAACTTATATTTTGATGTCCCTTCCCCCCCAGGTCAGCAGTGCTTCTGCAGGCAGAGGCAGGTGTGCAGGGCACAGTCTGGCAGGGAGGTAGAGCGGCATGGTGCACCAGGCAGGTGGGCAGGCTGGCACCGTAGCTACTGTGTGGGAGCAAGAAAGGCTGGAGCAGGTGCCACCCTGCCCACATGTGCTGTGGCCAGCCTGGCTTCTTCTGAGCAGCAGCTGGAGGCGGGGGGTGGGTTGGACTGGGCACTGCTCCTTCTGCCTGGGGCAGGGATCGGGTGGGGTGGGGTGGGGGAAAGCACTTCTGTGAGTGTGGGCTGCTCAGACGTGTGCATGTGTTTGTATATGTACGTGTGTTTCCCACTCCCCTGACCATGGTACACTAAGAGGTCACCCACATTGCCCACCCCTAAGGCCAGCTCTGAATATTTTTGTTGACTTCCCTGGTAGTAGGATCAGCCGATACAACTATCCATCTCCAATAAAATTCAATAGACTGAAATAAAATGCAGTTGTGCTGAAAATTAATATACAAAATGACTTGAAAGTATTAGTTTTAATAAATATTCAAGACATCAGATGTCAAATTTTGTTCATTACAAAATTGTTGGCATTTTAGGTAAATTTATGTTATTCTTGAATGTGGTGCAACAAATAACACAGGGAAAAGAGACTTACTTACAGGTATTTTTCACTTAATGGATGAATCCCTAATAAACTGAACTTAATTTTCATTCAGCAAGACAACAAATTACACACAATTTTTCAACATCACATAATGGGATGGGTTTAGCAAAGAAGCTGGACATGTATATGTGTCTGAGAGCACGAGCTAATGGAAATCAACTGCACTTAAGTATATGTTAAAATTTAGGTATACAGGCAACACTCACCATTTGCAGGGGATACATTCTCATGATCCCCGTGAATGGCAAAATGCACAAATAAGGCACTGCATTCATGAACGCAGTCGGCATTCATGAACGCAGTCTGCATTCATGAACGCAGTGTCCCCGGTGGCTGAGGGGAGACCACAGTTTCAGCGGCGGCAGGAGACCAGCAGCAGTGGCAGGAGCCCAGCGGCAGCAAGCGCAGAACTCCCAAGAAGCTCCTGTAAGTGTATAAAGTGTATTTCAAATGCAGGTTCGGCATTCGTGAACATTTGAAACTGTGAATGCCAAACCCACGAATAGTGAGTGTTTTCCTGTATACTTAAGTGCACTGTTGAATCTGGAACAATCTATCACGAAATACTTATGATTTTTTCTCATTTAAAACAAGTTTTTTTTACGTATGTCAAGGTTACTCAGGATTTGTGCAATATTCTATTGGAGCATTATAATTCAGGCAGAGGCAGGGTAGAGATGAACCAAATAGACTAACCAAATCAGAGATGCATAAATTTTCATGAGCCAATGCTCATTTCGTCAGATGCTGTGAAAAGACATGCACAGAGCAGTCTATCAACTACAGAGAATGATTTCGATACAAAAGACAGCTAAGGGAGGGAGAGGAGTGGGGGAAAGACCTGGGAGAGGCAAACAAGTAATAAATCCATAGGAGAAAGGGGGTCATAAAAGTTAATCCAGGTAATGAGATAAGAATTCATTGTCCCCGTTTAAACCATATTTAACCTAATCCTTCTGTGGATGAATTCTTGTTCCAAAGTTTCACATTTGAGTCAGCTTATGAAGTTCTGTTGCTCAAGAACAACCTCTCTGAAGTAAGAAATGGAAAGTTGAGGAAGGTTCAAGTTTTCTTCCACAGGCTTTTCGTGTTTTTGTCAGACTGGTATCTCCTCATTCTTGCATGTAAGGGTTGCCCTGCCTGTCCAATGTAGACAGCAGAGAGGTGATGCATGTAAGTAGGTGATATAAGCAGGTGATGGCATTTCTGGTATTGGTAGAGGTGCAGGTGAATGAACTTTGGATGTTCTACTCCATGTTATTTGATACTGTGATGATATTGTCTGTATAGATGTGGGGGCACAGCTTACATCTGGGTCCATTGTAAGGCCTGGTTCCTTAGTGAGGGAGCCTGTTGTTTGAGAGAGACTGCTTGAGGTTAGAAGGCCATCTGTAAGCCAGAAGAGGTTTGTCCTTGAGATAGTCACCATTTTCCAGGAGGGATGGAGGTCATTAATGATGTGTCCAAGATGGTCAGGCTGGGGGCTGTAGGTGACAACCAGAGGGATTCTTTCGTCATTACTGTAACAGGAGTATAAGGTGCATCTCTACCCTGACTTCTGCCTGACTTCAGACTAACACAGCTAACTACCTCTCTCTGCTCATTATTATTCATGTTACATTAGTGGAGGTCCAGTCCAGTGTAGTCTCCTTAAGTTATGGTTTGTAAGTGTAATTGCTAACTGGCCTTTACTTCTATTTGCAGTCCCAGTGGTATAACATCCAACAATTTTCCCTTTCCCAAACCTGAGTCCTCTTCTTCAGCTCAACTCATTAAGCTACAGATTAGACTTACTGAGATGTGATTCTTATTTACACCAAGTTCACTTTATAAAGCTATGACTGTGTATAAAAGGCCTTATGCCATGGTTGTATAAAGCAGCCTTCATTAAATGAGAATTCGGCCTTTTTGGTTTTATTTCTCACTGATGTGACACAAATGTTTTATCGTATTCTCCCACCAAATCAACTTTTTATATGAATGGCATTCAGGTTATATTTGAAGCAGTAATAGGGTCACTGAAAATAGTTTATTCATATTTTTGCATAAATGCAGATACAAAGTCCTTTTTTATATATGTGCATACAATATGCTGTTGTGTCCCTGTGATGTGCAACAAGTTAATGTCTCAAGGAGCTGCCTTGGTCTGAAAACATAAGTGTAATAAATTGCTTTATAATAACTGCATTACACCAAGAAAATTGATTTGTTATCTTTATCTTTATTTTCCTGGAGAAGGCTTGACATATTTTGTTGTTAATCATTTGTAAAAATAGAATGTCCAACAAGAAGTTTCATTCCCTTCCTCTGTTTTTTTTAAATAAGTCATATGTCTGTGAAAACAGTGTATCAATGTATGTCCTATTATTAGGGATTAATTTATTGTAGGATTATGAAGGATATAAATATATTATATGTCCTCCTAGGAATATTATTTCACATCAAAATAGAATACTTTGGATAATCAAAGACTGGCTGTAGAACGTGACTGTGATTACAGACTTTCAGCCAGTTTCAACTATGAAAGCTAGCAAATATTCAAAAAATGGTATTATATTTATGCTTAAACCCCATCTCTACAATGTAACATCAATTCAGGAAAATATTTAGGCATGTGCATTAATTCAAACTAGTCCATGTTTTTGCGTGGAACCTACTGAAAAGTCTCATTTAATTGAAATCAATTTTTTTCATTGGAAAATATTTGATTTTTCTGCAAAAAAAGGTAAAATGAAAATGTTTACTTGGTCACATTTAAATACAAAATACTTTATTTAGCAATTTGAAATTGAAAAAGCAAAAATGAAATATTTTATTTTGAATTTCAAAACAAAACTAGTCTTCATTTCATTTAAATGTAAAATGTTGCTTTATTTTCATGTTAAAAAAAAACAAGAAAAACAATCCA